TGTGTGTGTGTGTGTGTGTGTGTGTCCGTGCGTGTGTGTGTGTGTGCTGAGTATGCCAACCGTGCTGAGTGTGTTTTCCTCGTAACTCTCAAACCGGCTCTGTATAGGAAGAAACGAAAACTGAGAGGTGTTACATGTTTTTGTTTTGTTTTGTCTCTCCCCTGCGTCGTCTACGTAGATCTACACGATGCACGTTTTTTAACGTGTATGCTCACCCGGCTGGTGTGTAACTCGGCGTGTAGGCTCAGGTATCGCCCTCCGTTAGCCCCCATGTGCACGTGCCGAGAGTATGCCAAAAGCACCCCACCTCCTGTGCTCAGATTAATGCCCGTTAGACGATGTGAGTATGTTAACCCCTTTGTACCAAAACATCCAACATTCCTTCCTCTCTCATCGAAGACTTTCTTAAAAGATTTAAGTCACTTGTATTCTTCTAAAAGTTTAAAGAATTCTTCCTTTTCTAAACTTTTCGCACGCATGGTTATCGAGCTAAGACATACGTTTAACGAGGTTCGAGTAAGACCGGTTGCGCAGGGAGTGAAAGGGTTAAAGCGACCAGAGAGGTGTTGCGACGGCAGCAAATTCTCTCCGCTATCCCAGCTTCTACCCGTTATGCTTCCAGACACGAGCCCAGCTTCCTTATCTTCCATATAGAGGGCACCCGAAGGCTTATGTTACGGAGGCCTGCCATTGGTTGGGCGTGGGCGATCAGCCAATGGGATTCACGTTTACATAACTGCTGAGGAGATACTGAGAGAGCCGGGTATATAAAGAGCCAGGCCGTGTGTGTCTTCAGAACAGCTCTGCATCGTAAGTACTTACGGGATTTATCCCAGTATTCTCTTTAGTTTATATTTTACCTTTATTTTCAGTGTGTGTTTCCTCCCTTCACAACCCTTTATGATTTCACTTTTCCCACCCTTTTCAAAATAGTACTTTTAGTTACCAACATTACCCTTTCTGTTTACCTTATTTACCTAACCTACCTTTGTTTCATTTCCTAGTTAATTTATCTTTCGGAGCTAGAACACCTTTTTCCCTCTCTTTAAACTAATTTTTTTCTCTTTATAGTATATAACCCTAGCCAAACCTGAACGACCTTCAGGCAGCCATTATGATGCCCTTGCAATATTTTGTTTACCTTACACTAATTTCTGAACACACATTAACAAATACTGGAATGCAAGCAGCATGAGTAGGTAGACAAATAAAAGATTGCTATTGTAAATGAGAGTAGTAATTTCTTACTTACAAAGAAACATAGAATCTTGCGCTTGAACTACTTAGAACAAATCTACCTCTACAGAATAAGAAAAGAAAAAAAAGTGCTGACACACCTTTGAGGTGTGGTTCTGTCCAGCCAATTAGATCGTAGAGTAGAACAAAAGCAGACTAATCCAATCAGAGCGGACTGACATGCTTTCCTTTGTATTAAGCCTGTGGATTATTTTGATCACCACTACAGTACTCTGGCACGACATGGAATCGGCCTGCTTTCGAAACCGCACTGAATTGTACAACTAGTTCATATCGAAGCAGTGAACATGATTTCTTGTTTTAAGAATGACTGAACGAGACTTATGGAGGCACATAAGGTAATAGAAGCATAATCTTTTAAAATGTTATTAACTTTCATTATCCCGCAATGGCTACAGAGAATAATTGATAGAAGAGCCTGTAATCAAATCCACAAATAATAGCTGTGATTGAGCTCTTAAAAAAGAACCCAGACAACTTGAAAAAAGTTTGATTTTTAAAAATTGTATACCGTCTCTCCCAAGTAGTTTATTCAGAACCAAGGCACTGCTTTTTCATTTCTTTTTCAAGGTGTGGTTATAGTTTTATTGTTTTTTGTTTTCTTTCTCGTGTGTCTGTGTTTGCAACCTTTTCCCACTCATGGATTAACCCGTCCTACCACCACCCGGATTGGATTTGTTTCTTCCCTTATCACATTATTGTTTCCTCTCGTTCCTGGAGTTTTCTTCTGGGATCTCCTGTGTTTTCGGAGACCCTGACCCACCCCCTCACCCAGTGTGTTCCCCGCCCGCCCCGTGCTCGGAGTACTCACCTTGACTACGTGCCTGCATGGACAGGGGTTCGGATCTTTCTGTTTTGTGACCAGGACTTTGTGCATTTCGCGCCACTCAGTGGTTGGATTTATCGCATCATCTGCAGTGACGAGGAATTTCAGAGATTATAACGAAAGCAAGGATTCTGAGAGAGTAGGGCAAATGTTTTTGAGAGTAGTTTGAAAGTGTTCACCTTGGAAGTTTATCTCATAATCGCGAAGGCAGATCCGCCATCTTGTATTTACCTGCATGCATGGATGTTCCAAATATGGGTAGCGGGTGAGGTCATGCGCATGCGCACGCGGGCTTGTGCGCGCGGGGGCGTTCACGCTGCGCTGCCCTCACCCACCCACCCACCCACCCATCCGTAGAGCACGATAGGTGTGAGATAAGTACTGTATGCTGATGATATTTTTAGACACGTTTATTCCCCTCCCCCTTCTTTGGCAAGTCTTAGACTGTGTTCACTTGTGGTTTCGAACCCTGTTTGAGGACTTAGTTGTTTTTTACCTCACTGGTAACTGGTACATTTTAAACAAAGGCTCGATGGTTTCTGCAACGGTTTGCAGTTTTTACTAGATAACTCACTCAATATGAAAAAGACAGTTGAAAAAACCAACTACATCAATTTGAAACGAATGTGTTTCAATGAGAATACCTTCACTAATGTAGTTAGACGACGAAGCAGTTCTACTCCACTTAAATTTGAACTGAAGTGATAGCATGAAATCTTCTTTGCGTTTTAATATAAAACAAAAGAAAATAAAACTTTACCTGAATTTAACTACCAACCATTTTGACAACACATTCACCTTCAATTTCACATAGGTAGACTTTGTTTTAAACACTGATAGCGAGAGATGGGTTTATGATTCAACAGCTTTTATGCATTTTAAACTGGAACAAGGTTTTCTAAATTCTCAGACCAATTGTTTGAGGTTTGTTTTTAATTTTCCGCTTTTAAGAGCAAAATATAAATGCCATTCAAAACGACAATAAAAGGAGCCAATAAAGGGTATATATCAATAACTATAGATAGCTACTTAAAATCTGCCCTATTAGAAATAACAGTCCCCTCTGAATAGGTTTGGACATTTTCTGAAGATCATTTTTTGAAAATTGGAAAACAAAGTTGAAATAATTTTGCTTTGACAATCGCCAACTCATTCCCTCTTTTAAACATCAAGCTGTGCGACTGTGTCTTTTTTTTGGAGACAGAGGGGTCAAGTGACACTTCAGCAATCATATCCAGTTGTCGATTTTTTTTTTTTGGGGGGGGGGGGGGGGTTGAAAACAGAAATCTAAAGAGTATTTCTTCACCTGCATCATGTAGATGCGTTCCGCATTGCTTATTATAATTCTTTGGACTTTAAATTAATACCTAACTAGAAGTACCGTATTTCAATTTTTACCGTGAAACAGACACTATTCTTGTCAGGGTGTCTGTTGTCAGGGCTCTCAACCTTTTCGAAACCGAAGCACATTTATTTGTATGAACCTTACAAATCTCCCAGTAACAACCTTACTTGTTTAATTACCTATTTTTTACCGAAACGAAAAGCATGTTTTGTCATTTTGTACGTCCTGACTCCATAGATGATATTCCACTGCTCCATGGAGTCTGGACCGTGGTCTAGCTGTTATGAACATAGAACTGCATTTTCGGTTCTGAAAGAAGATTATTTCTAACTAGTGATGATGATGATGATGACGAAGATGGTGATGATGATGATGATGATGATGATGATGATAATGATGATGATGATTGCATCAATTAATGTATAATATAATTATTGACAAATTAAATCTGATTACGTCATTCCTCATTAACACCCCATTTCTCTCTCTCCGTGTCTTCCCCAGGCTGTTCTGACGTAGGTCTTGATTTTGTCGGAATCCTCACCGGCGGCAGTCTCTGCTTTCACTCCTCATTTCGTACTGGAGACACCCCAGCCGTAAGGCTTGAGCTTTTCTTGACGCACGCACCGTCGCGTTCAAACACAACACCATGGATCCCAGTGACCCCGATTTCGTGTACCTGATCGTGGACAGGAAGAAGCTCATGAAAGAGCAGACCCAGACATTTGACGGCAAAAAAGCATGCTGGGTTCCCGACCCCAAACAAGGCTTCCTGGCTGCCGAAATTCAGAGTACCAAGGGTGAGGAGATTACCGTCAAGGTCACCAAGACTAGTGAGGTAAGTTTAAACAAAAAGAAGAAAAAATGTTTGTTTGAAAATGAGAATAACTGAGCGAGAAAAACTGAGGCGAGAAAAACTGAGAAAAGACCTCACCCCAAAGTCAAAAGCGTAAAAGACTCATACAACCTTTAAAACTCGGACGTAAAATAGAACTCTACAGGAACTAGATATCTCAAGATTCAGAGAAACATACGACACCGTGATTTAATTTCATGATATGATATCTGAAAGGCCAACAAAGTTATGCCATGATCGTCATTCCTAAGAAGATAAGAAGACCACACGGAATTGAAGAACAATAGAAGGAATCGAGGAAGGTTTTGAGCTGCTAGAACTCTGTTTTGTGTGAATTATATATATATATATATATATATATATATATATATATATATATATATATATATATATATATATATATATGTGTGTGTCTGTATGTGCGTGTATGTGTGTATGTGTGTGTGTGTGTGTGTGTGTGTGTGTGTGTGTGTGTGTGTGTGTGTTTGAAAGAGTGTATGTGTGTGTTGTCAAGACCCCAAGTGAGTAAAAATACTGAAAGTTCACAGAAACTTTTTTGTATCTGTGGTTGTCCCTTTTTCTCGTAGACTGTTATCTTCTTTTTCCTCACCTAAGCTCTGTGTATCAAACTTTCTTTGCTCTAATAGTTTCTGTGAACTTTCAGTATTTTTCTTCGCGAAGGAAGAAAAGATTTTAATAAACCGTCTCAATACCAATAATTCGAGAATTTATGAAGGAGACCGTGTTCTGTTTTTGAATGTAAGACATCTTATGTGCGTGTGTATACCTGCCTTCTTACATCAATACCCTTATTTATCCATCCCTTTCTTTTCATTCTCATTATTGTGCCCGTGACCTTCATGTGGCGTCTCTTGCAAGCATCATTATTGGTCGTCTTCATTCTGTTATCACAAATACCGTCGTTTTTGTTGTCAATATGTGTGTATTCGTCACACCTCGCTTTAAATGAAAGAAAAAACAGGTAAAAGTAGTTGTACTTGTTCATATTTACTAATTTAACTAAAACCCAATTCACACCTTTATATTTATGTGCAATTCCTCTCTTTTCTGCTGTCCTCAGACCAAGACATTCAAGAAGGATGACATCCAGCAAATGAATCCTCCCAAATTCGAGAAGATTGAGGACATGGCCAACATGACCTACTTGAACGAGGCCTCTGTCTTGTACAACTTGAAGAGCCGTTACGCTGCAGGCCTGATTTACGTAAGTAGAACAACAAACAAAACAAACGACGATAAAATAGAAGAAAGTAATAGAAAAGAACAGAGGTCAGAATAATATACAATGTTTATGAGGAAACTGTAGTCAAATCTTATTCGCTTTCTCCTTTCCTCGCAATTAAACAGATAAAGAAGACGAAGTAATCTATGGTCCATCCTGTGTATTAGCTTCAATTCTAAGAAAAAGTTACATGGGTCATGGATGGTTATTTTATCCAATCGTAAGACGATTTCTGTTTTGAACAATACATTTTCCCTTCCCCAACGCTATTATATATACAGCTCACTACTCACCTTAAACCATCCTTTACAAATACAATTGAGACTAAGATAAGTTGAAAGTTATGATTATTGTTTGAGACTTCACATTAATTGTACTGAATTCGGAAACGCGCAATCTAATACGGCTATACGTCGATCCAGATTGAAAGGCTTGCCTGAATTGGGCAAAAACAGCCATATCAGCTATAGTAACAGCTCGTACAATGCAGATAAAACACTTTCGCAATGGGTTCCGGTTTTGTTGTTGTTGCGAGTAGATTGGCTCGCTGATCGCGGTGTGCGCTGGTGTAGTACAAAACGTCCTCCTTACACTTAATCCGCGATAAACCGCTTGCCCGGGTATTTAACCATGAGGCAGGCCAATGTTATGACTTTGTCATAACTGTAGCATTGACTTTACGTAGCGAAACAGAAATATAATATTATAGGCAAGTGGAAAGCGTTCAGTGTTACGTAATGTACACGCTCACAGTAAAACAGATTAACTCCTTAAGAAATAGAAGAGAGAGCCTTACAGTGGTACGGGTTCATACAAAGATGTCACGTCAGTAACTTTAAGCTGTTACCTCCTAAGTAAGAATCTTTTAAGCAGATAACAATTTTGCCAACCCCCAAAAAAGCTTTTCCATTTGAACCGAAGACCTTCAGATCAAAAGTAACGAAATTTAAAAAAACCCAAACATACAGCAACACCAAAACAAAAAGCAAGTAAAAACCAAATATATGTCATTTGTTTTGTCTAATGAGAGAATGACATTAGCCACGTTTCCCAACCTGACCGGACAATCTGAACATTGTGTGTGATCTTCTCCTCTGCAGACCTATTCTGGCCTTTTCTGTGTGGCTGTCAACCCGTACCGTCGCCTGCCCATCTACACCCAGAAGGTCATCGATGTGTACAAGGGCAAGAGGAAGGCTGAGATGCCTCCCCATCTCTTCTCCATTTCCGACAACGCTTACCAGAACATGTTGCAAGGTGAGTTCAAACTTACAAC